TGTTTTTTTTTTTTTTATGTGAACACCAAAGAAGCTTTGTCCATTGCAAATGGAGCTGGAAGAGTCATTGTTGACAATTCTCCTGGCATAGTGCTAATAATGAACTAGATCAAAATGGCTCAATTAAATTCTAGTGCTTCTTCTATTAGTGAAGTTTCTAGATAAAAAAAAATTATCAAACGACGCAATGCACCTTGGGTGGCTACGGAAACAGTCTTCTTGTATAATTACAAGGGTAAGGTCTGCGTACGACTGACCCCCAGACCTCAACCAGTTGATACTGGGTATGTTGTTGTTGTTTTTTTTGTTGTTGAACACCAAAGAAGCTGATGATATTGATTGTCATAAATATGAATCACTTCTAAACAACTCCTTAAATAATTACATTATATTAAAAAAATTAAACAAAAAGCAGTTATTTATGCAGTGACTTTATATGATCAATAACCGCAATGGTGTTCACCCACATCTTGTAGTAGAAAAGTACCTTTAAATAAACATAATATAGAATCTATCTATATATTAAAAGAATAACCTTTTTTAGGTCCCGCCAAAATTTACCCGCGAGTTGTGTAGAAATTAAAATCACCCGCCAATTGAAACAGATTTATTGGAACATGTTTTGTAAAAAAGTCTGCTCTTTGATTTTTTTTTGGAAACATATTTATTTTTTTTTTTTCCTAAAAGATAGGTTCCTAAAAGATAAGGTAACTCAATCGCCAATTGGAACAGATCCTAAAAGTCAATCGCGGAACAGATTTATTGGAACAGATTTTGTAAAAGGTAAACATAAAATACATCGTGTTCATTCAATTAATTAATTTAAAAAAATCTCATCTCTTATGCATCTACTTTAACATATTTTTCTAAAAAATTATCGTAACAATTTTTAAAAAAAAAAAAATTAATTCACTCTAAAGTGTAATTGTTAATATAAATCTTGACCTACGGTTAGAATTTTTTAAAAAGTTAATTTTCTCCCATCTAAATACTAATATTTTTTCAAATATTATTAACATTTATAATATTGGAGATATTTCAAACATTATTTGGACAAACATTAA